TAAAATAATACAAGCTCTTTTGGAGCATTCAACGATATTCGATGTACCTGATATCTCATTAACATTATTTTCTACTAATGTTAAGTCTAAAAAATATTTTTTGTCTTGAAAAATAGTATGCATAATTGTAGTTGCACAATCAATAAAAAAAGTATTTTGACAATTCATAATAAATCTATAAATATAATAAAATAGATATTATATAAAAAGCTTGAATTTATATTCAAAAGATATAAACTTAGTTTAATATTATAAAATTAACTGTGCATAATAAAGTCTCAATTTTTGTCAAAAATAAAACACATATTTCAAACTAAAATTTTAAAACAAAGGAAAATACTAAAGGCACAGAAAGTAAACTAATCTATGTCTTTCATCACATTATACCACTTCGAATCAAATGGTCAATATTGTAATTTGGATTAGCAAAAAAATCATAAACATCCAAATGAATCTTCACTTTTTCTTTTTCTTTGATTGATTTTTAGTAAAGATCTACAAGATGTTTTGCCACATAACAGGTAGATGCCGAATGGTCTTTCATCCCACATCTAAAACAACTTTCTTTGTACGCTTTTTTGGATTTCCTACTTTCTTTTACTTTGTACCTTTTAAAATTGTAGCCTTATTGCTGATAGTTTTGTTGATTATTTCGTCCATGTTTTATTCCGCGTCCCTGTCTATGTTTATGTCTTTGTCTTAATATTACATCTGTTTCAAGCAATGTAGTATCATTTGTTTCGGGCAATGATATAGAACCAGTTAGACGTAACACATGATTTTTCATCAGTATAATAATATTTTGTTCAGTTACTAGTAAGCAGGATATGAGTTTTAAATAATTTTTTGAAACCACGCTCACGATACTACTGCTGCAGGAGTACATTCGAAGCATGAAAGGTAGAAAAAATTTCTCTCAACATGTCTTTGTTAGTGATTTTTTTCCACACAAAGTCAATTTTGAACATATTTTGAACAGTTTTGAATTGTATTCACTAACAATTTTAAAATCTTGTAGGCGAAATCGCATCCACTCATAGCTAGCTTTAGGAGGGACTATAGTTATCTAGTGATTAAATTTTTCGGTTATTTTTTTCTAAAGAACCTGTGGATCTTTGATAGTGAGAAATTCAATTTTTAGTCCATCATGAAGAAAGATGATGACGAAGGAATATAAATATTTTTGCACGATCCTGTAAGAATTCTTTGTTTCCTTCTTTTACCGTCTCTTCCAGACCCTTTGAAACAAAATGAATATCAGCATCAAGAACCCATGACAAATATTTTTGCCAAATATGTCAAGTGCACAAAACTCAATTTTTGTGACGTTTCCCATTTAATTAACTACACAATAAAAAAAATACAATTGTTTCGAAAAATATAATTAAATATTGTATAATCACATAATAATTAATCAAGTGTCAATTTCAACATGATATGAGTTACATGTTTACCGTCACAGATAAATATTAGTTTAAAATAATATATTGTTCAAAACATGTACTACTTCAGAAGTATGTTGTGTTTTGGTATTACTTTTTCAAGAGTAATATGTTAATATTTTTCTAAAATATTGAAAATTATAATTTATACTTTTTATGTGCAAATAATATTCTTTTGAAATATTAATTATAATGGTGCACTAATTTCGGAACAATAACAAACTATTAGTAATAAATAGATTTGCGATAAATATTTTTCTAAAATATTAATTATAATATAATGCTATTTCAGGAACAACAAAATGATAATTTATCAATTTAAAATTTATAAAAGAGTATCTAAAAATATTTAATCAAATTACAAATATTAATTACCATACAAATATGATATAAATTTATATATAAAAATTAATTATCAAACATGCATTGGAAAAAGAAACTTCAAACATTAATTGATTTCAACTAACTTTAAGGCAAACATAATTGATTGTAAGCATCCGGCAAAAAAGAATTAAGCTTACAAGAAATTTGGTTGTAACGTGTTTAAAAGAATTAAGCTTGGCCAAGAATAAAAAATAATAATAATAATAATAATAATAATAATAATAATAATAATAATAATAATAATAATAATAAATAAAATTAAGCTAAAAACCTGAAGCCAAACTTCAAACGCACGTGTAAACGTAATTGACAAACCAATTATTGCGGCACATAATGAATCATAATGAATTAAAATAAACCAATTAACATGAATTGACAGTTGCCAAATTATGCAAGCAGCCGCCTTGTATATAAAAAATTTCCCATCAACAAATTAATTTCAATACATATGATAAATGATTATGCATAAAAAAAAAAAAAATACTACGTTCGCTAAATTTCAAAAAATTAAATTATTTTACTAATAATGTGTTATGAAAAGAGAAGAGAAATTAAAATCAATAAAATTTTGTATGTTTTATTAAGGTCTCATTTGGTACACATTAATGTAAAAATGAGAATGAAAAATATAGCCGTTACGAGCCCCCACACAAGAGATAGAAAGTAAATATGATGGACTGATGTGATGGATAACAGTAACATTTTTTTATTTTAATAGACAAATAATGGAAAACAAACGGGGACTAAGAACCAAACATATTTATAGAGAAA